CTTTTTCAGCCAGTAAATGCTCCTGAGAGAACGAAAACTGCAACTCAACTGTCAAGACAACTATTCCAACACCAGTATGTACCATTCCCATGACTGAATGTAAAATGTCTAGGTGTCGAAAGCTTACAACGATTTCTCTTAAGCTTCCTTGGCTGTCGGTTCCCGAAGCGCCCTTCCCTGCGAGGGCTCCCCGTCGTCGGCGGAAAGCTCGAACTCTGCAAGCTTCCACAGTACGAGTAGAGTTTTCTGCAAAAGCCGATCCATCTGATGTTAAAGTCCAAGAATCCATATCCGTTGAAGGTCCGTCGAAGACCGCACCAGAGTCAGAAAAGGACGGCCCTGCAACGCCCCAGCCTTCCTCAGAATCTAATCTCATCCAACCCACAACTCCTTCATCTACCACTGCCTCTCAAACCGGAACCAAACCCCAACATACTCCAGCGCAAACTACCGGTGCGCGGCAGGCTATTCCAATTGTTCCTATCGTGCCAATAATTCCTTCCAGCCCCAGCACAACAAAACAACCACCCACCAGCCCTTCGAAGACCACCCCAACGACCCCGAAACGTGATGGGCAAGTTTCGCTGAGACCCACCCCAGATGAGACGCAGACAACGGATACTGCACCTTCGTCAACGGAGTCCGCTATCCCAACGCAGGACGCGCCTAAACCCACACCTCCAATTCGAGCTCCCCCAAAATCGTGGGCTGATTTAGTACGAACCAAGGCGCCTCCATCTGCTAGTAGCGCTTCACCCACGTCGACTAGGATCAGTGAACTAGGGGTATCTAAGGGCGAATCTCTTCTTGATGTTATTAACCATCTAAGCTCCAATGCTGAACAATATGGTGACAAAATCGCATTTATTGAGCCGCGCGGGCTTGTAAATACTGGCAATATGTGTTATATGAATTCAGTAAGTATTCCATTTTAGTTCTTGCGAGTGTTCATTTTCTGCCGGTGTGCTAATGGTATATCTATAAAGGTGCTTCAAATTCTGGTATTTTGTGTTCCTTTCTATGAGTTTCTTGACAAAATCGGTCGGCGTGCGGTTCATACATTTAAGAGCGATCTTCCACTAATTGATGCTATGTAAGCTGTTTTATCCCCGACTCCACCAATGATCCCCGTTATTATTCCTGGTGTTAACAGTCCCTTCCCCTTCCAGGATCATGTTTATGCGAGAATTTCGGGTAATTGATGCTGCAACCTCAGTTGAACAACTGAGGCTCCGATTGAAGCAAAACGAATTAGAGCAATATGGCGAGTCATTCATTCCAGAATATGTTTATCAAGTCATTAGACATCTTCCGCGATTTCGAGACATGAGGGTAAGTCTCACAGTTCCTTCACTTCAGCGGCCTGGTTTCATTCAAGCTAATACCTAGAAGCGTGGTCACCAACAAGACGCACAAGAGTTTCTTGGTTTCCTTCTTGAAGAGCTCCATGACGAGTGTACGCAGGCAGCTAAACAAGTTTCATCTACTGGATCCGACATTTCTACTCCTGTTGAAACCGATTCCGCATCCGCAGCATCCGAACTCTCTGTGGAAGGATGGTTGGAAGTCGGCCACAAACAGAGACCCGCAATCACTCGATCCTCAGGACACATCTCTGCAGAATCGCCAATCACCAAAATATTCGGCGGCAAAACTCAGATCAGAGTTTAGAGTGCCAGGAAACAAAAACTCCGTTACCCTTGAACCTTACCAGTCCCTTCAACTTGACATTGGCTCTCCCCAAGTTATTAATATCATTGATGCGCTTAAAGGTCTCACTAAGCCAGAGACCATCCAAGGCGACTTCACTCATCTCGTGGCCCTAAGTTACTGCTACCAAGCAAGTTTTCATCGAAACTTGCCCCCGTCCTC